AACAGTCTCATTTGGATATTTGAGATTTGCATCGGGTATTTGGTCTACATGGCTGGTCTCAAGTGCTGTTCTTGCTCTGTCTGTGGATTTCAAGAAGAGAGCAGTGGCTCCCACCTGATCCCTCACAAGGGTCTCTTCCAGGAGTACTTTTAGGAATAATCTCTTGTGAGAAAGTTAAGCACGTGGGTTCAGTGGCCAACTGCCTAGGGTGAAGTATTCTGCCAGTTAGCCGTACGACTATGGGCAAGTTTTTACATTCTCTGTGATTCAATTTATTTACCTGTCAAGGGGGGACAATACAGTAGTACCCATCTTGTAGGGTTGTGAGAATTGGGCGAATAACGTTGTAAGTTCTAAGTACTTACACATTACATCAGGGAGCAGGTTGGGGCCACCATTCTCATGACATAGGGCAGTGGTTTTCAAAGTGTGGTCTGTGAGACCCTAATTGAGAATCCTAGTGAACTTGACAACTAATTTCCATAATTTGAAAACTCAGAGCACCTGTGTTACTAATGTTGGCAGGTATGATGGTTAATACTGAGTTCAACTTGATTGGATTGAAGGCTACAAACTAGTGATCCTGAGTGTATCTGTGAGGGTGTTGCCAAGAGATTAGCATTTGAGGAAGTGAGCTAGGAGAGACAGACCCACCCTTAATCTGAGTGGGCACAATCTAATCAGCTGCCAGCACGGTGAGAATATAAGCAGGCAGAAAAATGTGAAAAGAGAGACTGGCCTAGCCTCCCAGCCTGTATCGTTCTCCTGCACCGGATGCTTTCTGCCCTCAAACCTCAGACTCCAAGTTCTTCAGTTTTGGAACGTAGACTGGCTCTCCTTGCTCCTCAGCTTGCAGATGGCCTGTTGTGGGACCTTGTGATCATGTGAGTTAATACTTAATAAACTTCCCTTTATAGATATAGAAACTATTCCATTAGTCTGTCCCTCTGCAAGATAGCATTTTATTCTAATAAAAGCAGGTTAGAATGAAAGAGTGCTAGGTAAGGTTGAAAACTAGTTAAACTAATCTTGTGTTCTGTTGGATTGTGGTACTTTTGCATAATTTTTAGTATATTTGGTAAGAGAAGATTGAATGAAGTTTCCTTATCCAGGTAGAAATGACCTGTTGGGCCTTCTAAAATCTATTTTAATGAGACGTTTTTTGGAAATCCTAATTCAAGATAGTAAAAGTCATCCCCACCAAGAGCATGTTGTGGCAAAACTCTGCTATTAAATCTGCATTAGAGGCCAGGCGCGGTGGCTCATGCCTGTAATCCCAGCACTTTGAGAGGGCAAGGCAGGCAGATCACTTGAGATCAGCCTGGCCAACATGGTGAAACCCCATCTCTACTAAAAATATAAAATGTACCTGGGCGTGGTGGCACACACCTGTAGTCCAAACTGCTCAGGAGGCTGAGGCAGGAGAATTGCTTGAACCTGGGAGGCAGAGGTTGCGATGAGCTGAGATCTCACCACTGCACTCCAGCCTGGCGACCGAGCAAGGCTCTGTCTCCAAACAATAATAACATCAACAACAACAAACTGCATTGGAGTGATGTAAGAAACCAATGTTATTTATGGAGCTGAGATGCAGAGCTGAGTTGATACATGAATTATAAATTTAGTAATATAAAAGTTCACAAAACTAAACTCTCAGAACCCTAGAAACTACAGAAATTGACAGCAGCACATTTAGCAAAGTTTATAAACTGAGTTGCTCATGAAATCATCTTATCACTTACCAAGCTCTGTTATGTGTAGACGTACGGGGTACACTTCTAGGAGTACAAAAAACTTTAAGGCAGATATTATTCTTTTTTGATTATCCCAGGCTGAGGTATTCTCTCTTCCCTCTAAATGCCGACAACTATATACTACATAGTTCTTTGACATTTATGTGCTAAAGCTTTATGCTACTTTATCTCTTAAATTCTTGAATTGTTTTTCTCATCTTTACCATTGATCATTCATTTCCTTGTTAGAATACTAGAATTGTAGGCCGGGCGTGGTGGCTCAAGCCTGTAATCCCAGCACTTTGGGAGGCCGAGGCGGGTGGATCACGAGGTCAAGAGATCGAGACCATCCTGGTCAACATGGTGAAACCCCGTCTCTACTAAAAATACAAAAACATTAGCTGGGCATGGTGGCGCGTGCCTGTAATCCGAGCTACTGAGGAGGTTGAGGCAGGAGAATTGCCTGAACCCAGGAGGCGGAGGTTGCAGTGAGCCGAGATCGTGCCATTGCACTCCAGCCTGGGTAACAAGAGCGAAACTCTGTCTCAAAAAAAAAAAAAAAAAAAAAAAAAATACTAGAATTGTTCCACAGAGTGAAGCTAGGTGGCAATCTGTCTGAAGACCAGATAACTTTAAATTCACCTTACTTTTTGAAGGCAGCTCTCTGAAGACCCAATCAAAGCTAGAAGTAGTTTACCATGCTCTAATCCTTGGCAGTTAGCAGATTCTGACTTTTCTTTCTCTAGTTCCATTGTATTGCCCAAGATCTAGCTCAGTCTCTCAGCTGCCAATTGTAGATCAGCATATGCTCTGAAGCAGAAGCAGCCCCAGCATGAACAAGAAAGAAAAAGTAATATAGTACAGGTGGCACATAGCTAGGATACTATTAAATACAAAAATATCAGTAATTACATTAAATATGAAAGGACTAAATATTCCAGTTGAAGCTTAAAGATCATCAGATTGGATTACAAGCCAAACCCAAACCATGTGATTGTTAAAGACACACATCTAAGGCCAAAAATATATAGAAGTTGAAATTTAAGGGATGGAAAAAATAATGTGATGCAAGTGCTAGTCAAAAGAAAGCCACCATAGTAATTTTAAAAAATAGAAAAAATAACTTTAGGGCAAAAGTTTTTGCACAAATAGAGGGTCACTTCATAGTGATCTTTAGCTAAAGATCTAGAATCATTATATCTCCCTAGTGAATTGAATATTTCCCCTAAAAAAATCTTAAAATATGGAAAGCAAAATTAACAGAATTACAGGGAGAAATCCAAATCATAGTGGGATATTTTTCATTTTCCTTTCTTAGTAACAGATAAAGGGAAAAATCAGTAGGATATAGAATATTAGAATAACATGATTAATAGATTTGACAGTAATAGACACTGCTCTCAAATCAAGACCTTGTTAGTCATCTCCTAATGCCAATGGAAGAATACAAATTTAGGATGTGATCTTTTTTCTTATCCATTCTTCCACTTGGAGCATACGTGCAAGCAAAGGCAGGAAAAAACCTTTAATACAGACCTGTTTTGACATCACAGAGGACACTAGTATGTTTTCAAGCTCATCTCCTGAATAAACACATTGTAAAATTAATTTCCATTCATCCCTAATCTTATCAGTTTGGTATTAGTACTAGATTATATTCTTTCCATTGCTTAATTTTGCAAATTGATTTTGAAAACAACTATATTATTGTCTATACTTATCACCCTTCTTGTTAGGACACAGAAATAAAAATAGTAATTTTTTAAAATAGCATCTTAGTTGTGTCAATCATCTTTTTTTGTTGTTGTTGTTGGTACTCTGTCACCCAGGCTGGTGTGCATTGGCACAATCTCTGTCCACTGCAACCTCTGCCTCCCAGGTTGAAGCGATTCTTCTGCCTCATCCTCCGAATAGCTAGGACTACAGGTGCATGCCACCATGCCCAGCTAATTTTTGTATTTTTAGTAGAGATGAGGTTTCACCATATTGACCAGGCTGGTCTCAAACTCCTGACCTCATGATCCACCTGCCTGGGCCTCCCAAAATGCTGGGATTACAGGCGTGAGCCACTGCGCCCAGCCAATTGTGTCAATCTTATGGGCAGTGTTGAGGGAACTGTTCAGGAGCTTCAAACTCACATTTTAAAACCTTTATGAGAACTTCTAATTTCAGATCAATTAGTGCTACATAAATATGCAAGATTACCATGAAAAAATAACTTTGGATTCACATGTAATCACCAGTCCCTTGCAAGTACTAAGTATTCTACAAATGAATGGTATATATTAAATGGGTGTCTCTACTATAAGAGACACTACCTTTGGGAAAACAGTACTGCCCATCTTAGGAGCCAGAGGGCTGGTATGTGACAACACTGGCAATGAGAAGGAGGATGGAGGGACATTTGATAGTATCTGTTTTTTTGAGACAGGGTCTTGCTTTGTCACTTAGGCTGGAGTGCAGTGGTGTGATCAGGGCTCACTACAGCCTTGACCTCCGGGACTCAAGGGATTCTCCTGCCTCAGCCTCCTGAGCATCTGGGACTACAGGCATATGCCACCATGCCTGGCTTTTTAATTTTTTTGTACCGAAGAGGGTCTTGCTCTGTTGCCCAGCCTGGTCTTAAACTCCTGGGCTCAAGCAATCCTCCTACCTCCCAAAGTGCTGGCATTACAGGCATGAGCCACTGTGCCCAAACAATAATTTCTTTTACGAAGGATTTGAAAAATCCCTCTTTAACCTTTCCCATACATGTTTGGTTAGTTGTTGACATAAGACCAATTTTCTTTTTTTGAGATGAAGTCTCATTCTGTTGCCCAGCCTGGAATGTAGTGGTGTGATCTCGGCTCACTGCAATTTCTGCCTCCCAGATTCAAGTGATTCTTTTGCCTCAGCTTCCCGAGTAGCTAGGATTATAGGTGTACACTGCCATGCCCAGTTAATTTTTGTATTTTTAGTAGAGTTGGGTTTTCACCATGTTGGTCAGGCTGGTCTCAAACTTCTGACCTTGTGATCCATCCGTCTCAGCCTCTCAAAGTGCTGGGATTACAGGTGTGAGCCACCGTGCCTGGCCTAAGACCAATTTTCTATATTTTGTTAAATAATTGCTTGTAATAAGCATTTTAAAAATATGAAAATGATTTTCTTCTTTAAAGAGTGAAACCAAGACTCAACCTGAAATACAGGTTTTACTGTGCCATAATCTTTATTACAATAGACATACCTCTCACTATCAATACCGTAATAAGTGAGGCAAAGACATTTTGCAAGAATTCCATTTATTGTGGATGCATTTTCACAATATATTTTTATCGCAGCGATCAATTATCAGTGAAAAATATCAAGTGTTTATAAAATTTTTAGGAATGGCAGATTCACAGAACATGCTAGTCGGCTTGCAGTTTTACCTCTTAAAGATAACAGAGAATTATAGTCAAACCAGTAAACAAGGAATTTACTTTTCAAAAGATTAAATCCAAACTGAACAAAATTCTACCCTAAAACTTACTCCATCCAAATATTGGAACAAAAGTCAAGAGTGATACATTCTCTTCTGAACTTAAGATTTTCTAGAAAAATATATAATAGTGATCAGGAGAAGCTCTTGTTCAAAAATACAACAAAGCGATGTTACTTTACCATAGGCCTTAATTGAAACTTTGATCCATTTCACTCCAATGATGGGAGTAAGTGCTACCTGGGGCACTTCTGTTTGTATATTCTAATTTAGCTTCTCGTAGACTTGTGCCTACTCTGTCATGAGTGTTTGACTTGTGCATTCTTTGTGGATTTCCTTCTTTTGGCCCAGGTTTGCTAAAGCTAGGAGATTCAACTGTTCTTTACAGACTTATGAGGAAAATAGACTTGGGAATGCAGGGGTCACTTCTCACGCCAGCCCTGCCCTAGTTAGCACTTCTGGAGGAATACTGTAGATAAGAAAATAGTTATTGGAGAGGCTCCCTCAGTGTGTTAGGAATTGAGACACACAATTTTGGTTAAGTACACTGAGGTATGAGTTTATATAACTTCACTAGATGTATCCAACTATACCAGAACATTTTGCCAGGACACTGGAGGACTCGTTCATTATCTACTGTGAAGAATAAAGACTTAGAGGCTGTAATAAGATTTGGATTGTGTGTATAAAAATCATGAGTTAAAAGAGACTTGGAGAAAAAAGTAAAACTAGTAGAAGTTACATATAACTTTGAAATTTCACCACTTTGTCAACTTATGACAAGTGCCAATGACAAATAAAGGTAGAAAAGCTTAATTTAAAAAAAGTTTCAGAGTATATAAAGATGAAAGTACTGTCATGACTTCAAAACACTGGGTTTTGCTCACTTCACTTCTCTGTTTCCAGACATTTAGCCAAAGTTATTTGTCTTTGTTTAGACTTATACATGGAATTGCAATCTGTACAATATTGTCACTAAATTTCTTGTCTTTTCATTTTAGAGACAAGATCTTATGACATATTGTGAGCTTCCTTGTTTTGAATAAGCAGGCTTTTAGCTTGATTGAGATGATAGCATTAATAAAATTCACACTGGACTTCAAGATTGCATTTAATTATAAACTAAATACTATGTCTTTTAGAAAATTTCAACTCCTTGTGACACTTCTAATCTCTTTTTTCCCCAATACTTTCTTCTTATAGGTCATCAGGCATTGAAAACATATTGATGCCTATCTGCCATATTTCTACTGGCAAATATGAAATATTAATATATTGTGATTTTTAAGTTTTCAAAAGCTGTGATATTGGCTAGTTACAATGACATGCTACTAAATATAATAGTCTAGCACATAAAAAAGCATTCTACCATTAGTGTGTTTGTATATGTGTATGCACAGACATACATAATTGAGTTATCTAAAATGTGGTTCAGGCTACTATCACTACTAAAGAAATCCACAAAACAACCGACCTAAAAAATCAGTACCACTGTCAGCTAACATAATAATGTAATTTAGATATGAATCAGCATGAAAAAAGTAATACCTTAACAATACATTTCCTTTTTTTTTTTTTTTAAGACAACCATTATTGCAGTATATCAAATCTGAAATGGGTTACTTTCAAAAAGTGTTACAATTGCCTACTAAGATAATTTCTTCCATGCTTTATTATAAAGTGCAGAAACAACATGACTTCTGTATTTATAAAAACAAAAACTACGGTTCATTTTTCTAGATACTGCACACATTCCGCAGGCAATTTTAAACTTGGATCTTGTTGACTTCAGATGTGGTTGGTGTATCACTGTTCAGACACAGAGTTATGATGATCAGTAGAAAAGTCTCTATTTCACAGCATGGGTTTCTTTAGAAACAGGCTCCTGTGCAAAGGCAGTACTTTTACCATGAACATCTCTAGACTGTGATTATTAAATATAGTGATAATATACATGGGTTTATTGGGATATTGAAAAATAAAATGAACCCAATTTAGTAAATCAACATAAATACAAAACAGAGCAAATTAGCTCTCTACAACTGAGCTTGTCCCGCGTCTTGAACTTGGGTTCTTTCTTGAACTGTTTCAAACCTGCCAAGAGAAAAGAACTTGAAATTGACAGCCTACAGTGCTTCAGGCAGATGGTTTTTGTAGTCAGAAGAAAAAGTTATAATAATATGGCAGGAATAAATATCTATGAAAGAGGATTATTGTTGGCATTCTATTCAAATATGATCTTTTATTTTTTTTTATTGTTTTATTTTTCTGAGATGAAATCTTGCTGTGTCACTTAGGCTGGAGTGCAGTTGTGTGATCTCAGCTCACTGCAACCTCTGCCTCCTGGGTTCAAGTGATTCTCCCACTTCAGCAACCTGAGTGGCTGGGGCTCACAGGCATGCACCACCACGCCTGGCTAAGTTTTGAATTTTTGGTAGAAACGGGGTTTCCTTATAAGTTGGCCAGGCTGGTCTCAAACTCCTAACCTTAAGCGATCTGCCTGCCTTGGCCTCCCAAAGTGCTGGGATTAGGTGTGAGCCACTGCACCCAGCTGGATCTCCTTTTATTTTATCCTTTCTTCTGCTGATTTTTTTTCACTTCCCTCTTCCTATCTTTCTCCTTTATGTTCTCTTTTCCTATCTTAACCTTTGGCCTCGTTCATAGCATTCAGAGTCAAGAAAGTTGCTTTTTTTTTTTCCATTTTTTAAACTCCATTTTAAGAGCCAAAAATCTACAGTGTGTACTCCAGGACAGGTACACGTGACTGAATAGCTCAGTTAGGGCCACATCAATGTATGATGGTGAAGGAGGATATGTTTATCTTCAGTTTTCTCTCATTTTTAATCTAGCAATCTATTTTCTCCCTCCTATTCTTACACCCCTACCCCTGAAACTTATCTGACCTATAGTCCCGTTCTTATATCATTCTCTCCCCCTCAGCTAGTTGCTAAAATTATTTGCTAAGCTATTAGTAGTAAAGTATTGTGAATTCAGATTTTCAAGTGTGTTCATTGTCTCCTTTCCTTTCCTTTCCTCCCTCCCTCCCTCTCTTCCCCCCTTCCTCTCCCCCTTCTCTCTCCCTCTCTCTCTCTCTCTCTCTCTCTCTCTCTCGTCTGGCTCTGTCACCCAGGCTGGAGTGCAGTGGCATGATCTCAGCTCACCGCAACCTCCATCTCCCAGGTTTAAGTGATTCTCTTGCCTCAGCCTCCCTAGTAGCTGGGACTACAGGTGTATAGTCCCAGCTAATTTTTGTATTTTTAGTAGAGACAGGGTTTCACCATATTAACCAGGCTGGTCTCAAACTCCTGACCTTGTGATTCACCCGCCTCAGCTTCCCGAAGTGCTGGGATTATAGGCGTGAGCCACCACACCCGGCCATTGTATTCATTTCTAAGGAATGACTGAGTAACAAAAAGTGTTTGACATTTTGGAGCAAAAGAGCTACCTAATCTGCTACCCCATAAACTCAGTTCTGTGTCTGGTGGTTATATTATTACTACTGTAGAAATAGTGGCATGTGAAAACTCACACTGTCACCCTCCTACCTTGTACTGCCCTGGTGCTACACAACTCCAGGGAGTACCATTCATGTATGTATGTGAGTGGTGTTCACTGAGTCTGACCATTCCACAGCATCTGTGCCCCACTTTCCAGAGCTCTGGCTAGAAGGAATGTTATCCAGAGACACTTCATTGGTGATGATGGTGTATGGCCAGCAGACATCCCTTTTTCAGACAGGAACTATATAAACACTGGGACTGCCATTCTGAGAGATCGGATACCTCTCAGAGGTCTGAGAGGACACCTTGTACTGTCAACGTTCCTCCCACTGTGATGTATGGAGAATGCCTTCCTGGGAACCATTTCATGGGTCTGGGCAATTTACATCAAATGGCTGACAAACCTGCAATGCGCTAATAGCATAGGCTACACTGGTCATAAAGGCATAGGTCAACAAGCTCATTCTCTGTTTAAAAAATTACAAAAAGGCCAGGCACAGTGGCTCACGCCTATAATCCCAGCACTTTGGGCGGCCGAGGCAGGTGGATCACGAGGTCAAGAGATCGAGACCATCCTGGCCAACACGGTGAATCCCTGTCTCTACTAAAAATACAAAAAAATTAGCTGGGCATGGTGGCGCGCGCCTGTAGTCCCAGCTACTTGGGAGGCTGAGGCAGGAGAATTGCTTGAACCTGGGAGGCAGAGGTTGCAGTGAGCCGAGGTCGTGCCACTGCACTCCAGCCTGGTGCCTGGTGATGGCGTGAGACTCTTGTCTCAAAAAAATAAAATAACAAAGAAAGTTCTTTCCTCCCCTGCCACCAGGAGAAAAGTATACAAGGAATTGAACGACTATACGTTTTCTCCTGACTATGTATCCTACAAGAAAGATATGACCATGTTCCCACCACTGTGGTGTATTGAGAATGTCTTACTGAGAACCTTCTGGGTTGCTTACGTTATGTGTATGACTGACAAACTAGCAATGCACTTTTCCTTTCGCCGTGTTCTGTACTGGTCTTTTAGACGCTGATGGCAAAGTATAGACTTTAGACGTGTGCAGGCAAAGTATAATGGTTAAGAATGCAGGCTCGCATCAGACTGCTGGAGTATCAACGCAGGTTATGCTACTTATTCGCTGTGTGACTTTGGGAAAGTTTCTTCATCTCTCAGCGCCTCGTTTTTCTCACAAAATAAGAATGATATGCTACTTACCTCACATGGTGACTGGAGGATCAAATGAGGTAATGGAGGGTAAGAAGGTAGAAGAGTGTCTGGCATATGGTGGGGTGCTCACTTAGTGCTAGTAGATTGTAATGTCATCATTACCAGCGGGCAGTTTTCATATGTTTAGCAATGACTTAGAAAGTGGAACTTATTTAAAAGTCACCTTAAGTAGAGAGGCTGGGCTAGTGGATTTTAATGGAATAAATGCATAATATGTAGCTAATGGTGAAGGTGGGGTACTATGTTTAAGCAGCTGCACCAGAACTAAGAGCATGTAGAAAACAGGAAAGGGAAGGCAATTCTCTCCCTGTAGTGAATTGTAGTGAGTCTCTAGTTGCCTTTGATGTGTTCTTTAGTCCTGTTTGCTTAAGAAGTGCTTCTGTTTAAATTAACCCGTAAGCAGCCTGTTGTAACCTTGCTTATGGTTGGTCTTCAGTTTCTCCCTTTTTAATTTTCTTTTATTGAAGGAGAAGACTAGGCCCATTACATGAAATGGGGAAAGGCAATAGTTGGGAGATGAATGAGCTCACTGTACCCAAAAAGGTCACATTTGTAGTCTGAGCATCATTTAGATGTTCTTCAGAGCCTCCTTTCTGAAGAATGACCAATCCTTTAAGACCAAAAGTGAAAGAGGAACACAATCGTTCTTAGTTATTTGTTTTCATAGGGTGGTAAATGGTTGCCTTACTTTTGAATATTATTTTAATTATGAATATTTTTTGCCTTACTTTGAGTATTATTTTAATTTTTTGCCATACCAACCCTGAGTCTTAGGCTGCTGGCAGTGGCAATAGAATCTAAAATGACTCCAGAAAGCAGCTTTGAAAACACTCAGGGAGACAGATGTGTTCCCCAAGGATCTTCAAATGACTGTGGCACCAAGCTAGGACCTTGTAAGGAAACGCAGACCATGGTATCCCATACAGCCTTCTGCTGCCAACGTTCCTACTGCTGTGGTGTATTGAGAATGTCTTACTGAGAACCATTCACGTGTTTGGGCAGTTTATGTTGTAGGACTGACGAACTTGCAATGCATTTTCCTTTCACTGTGTTATGTCCTGGTCTTTTAGATGCTGATGGGTATGCAGGCAAAGATCTGTAGGTCAGTGATATTTCTCATCTGACTCCAGGACATTATATGGCAGGGTACATCAGGAAAACAAACCTCTGAAATACTAGTCCTCCCAATAGATTACCTTAGTGGGGGAAGTGACCTTGTCCACAGATTGCTTTTCCCAGAGGTTCCGCTTGCCGGATACGTCTCCTGGTCTCAAGTCCTAATAAAGAGAAAGCAGAGAAACACTGACAGGTGGCCACTTATATTTTCTAGCCAGCTCTAAATAAATGGCCACATCTATTGTTTATTTGAATCAATTTGTTGTTTAATACACTTTACTCCAGTGACCTGAAATGCATAGAATTGAAAGGACCATCAGCTGTTGTTTGATATTTTTTTTTTTGAGATGGAGTCTTACTCTGTCGCCCAGGTTGGATTGGTGCAATCTTGGCTCACTGCAACCTCCGTCTCCTGGGTTCAAGCGATTCTCCTGCCTCAGCCTCCTGAGTAGCAGGAATTACAGGTGTTTGTGACCACACCCGGCTTTTTTTTTTTTTTTTTGTATTTTTAGTAGAGACGGGATTAGCTGTTGTTTGATTTTATATAAACCATGACGTGTCTTATGATATGGCCTTGCCCCTTACCAAGGACTTACTGTTTATTGATCAGTAAAAGTGAAACAGGAGCATGTTTAAAATAATGTAGCCACTTTTTAACTTTCTGCACTCTTGAAAGTCAGTAAAGCATAGGTTATTTAAAAATAATTAATTTGAGGTTTGATAAGCACTTCCTACCTGACAGGTGAACCCTTTCAGTACTCACCTCTTTTCCCCTGGCCCTTAATACTTTAGTGAACACCAGCCAATAGCCAACTGCCCACATGGCACTTCTCTGCCTAGGGACTTTCTCTGATTATAGATGCCAGTTTTGCCTGCCCAGGAGGCAGGTTGGAAAGTTCAGAGAGTTTTAATTAATTAATTAATTTATTTATTTTTTTGAGATGGAGTTTTGCTCTTGTTGCCCAGGCTGGAGTGCAATGGCACAATCTCGGCTCACTGCAACCTCTGCCTTCTGGGTTTAGGCGATTCTCCTACCTCAGCCTCCCAAGCAGCTGGGATTACAGGCACCCACCACCACACCTGGCTGATTTTTGTATTTTTAGTAGAGACAGGTTTTCGCCATGTTGGCCAGGCTGGTCTTGAACTCCTGACCTTGTGATCCACCTGCCTCGGCCTCCTAAAGTGTTGAGATTATAGGTGTGAGCCACTCTGCCCGGTCCAGAGAGTTATTATAACATCCCCAGGGGCAGTCCTCAATAGCTGACTGGCAAATGTTGGTGCAAAATTTTTCTCAGGCTCACGCTTGCCACAGCTCGGGTAACTCTGAAGTATGTGTTCTTTGGTGGCTTCCAGGATTTCCTCCGTGGGATTAAGGTTTAACAGCCCATGTGGGGACTTGCTTAATAACACTTTCTTTGCGGGCTGCCTTCTTCTCCCAAACCCAGTCCCTATAGTGTTTTCTTCACCTCCATGTAAACGACTTGCTCTGGAATCACTGTCTTGGGACTGGCTGCTGGGCAGCCCAAAAAAAGTCACTTTTCTAGCAGCACTTTCCTCACCCTAAAAATCATTTTGTGTCTCCTGAGGGGCAAGGGGGTAATTCAGAAGTGGATCAATAGAACCTGGCAAATAAAAACATGCATCACAAATTGAACCCATACGAGAAGTTGACAGTTGATGACATGTGTAAGAACATGTGGAAATCTTGGGACGGAAACGCTAAAATACCATCGATAACAGTTATATAGCTTAGAGTCTTTATTTACTACCTCATAATTAATTTCATTTGGATAAGGATCCAAATTTCTGTTTCCGTTTACTTTTCTTCCAGCATTTGCTTATATTAGTACTTGGCAAAAGATAGTTTGTAGAAAATAAATGTGCTTTACTGAAATAGTAATGCTTATCTTGGCAAACCCTTTTCTCAGGAGGAAGGCAAAGCTAACAGCAATTGCATTTACCCGTGGATACTGATCTAAATGGACATATTTCTGATAGATAGTATTGAGATTGTAACACTGAAAATGCACAGTTAAATGATACCATGTGAAGCATTTCAGATTCATCTAAACCTTACTGAGTTTCTGGATTTCCTCTGTGGCATGAATTCCTGATATTCTATTAGAGAGTTACACCTGTTTAACTTGGAGCCATTAAGCAACAAATCAGATTATTTTTGTAGAATTCCACGACATTTGCCAGCATAGGTAGATGCTGCCAAACTGTCTGGAAGACTGTTGTAAAATTTTGGAAACTATAATTAGGAACACGCTGATGGAAGCTCTGGAAGGCAGCTATTAACGCTTTATTTATTTGAATCATATGAGACAAATATTTTTCCCTCACATGCATGTTTGTCTACCTAAGCAAATGGACTGCACTTCCCATAAATCCTGCCGATGAATCTTTCAAGATCAGAGTTAAAGAGTTTAGAGTCCCTTTAAGAAATATTAACATCCGAGTTATAAGTTGGCATTTTAAATCAAAGGGGAAATATAAATGGAATTACCTGACCAGACTACATTTTAGAGAAAGACCCACTCCGGAAGAAGAGGGAGAAATGAAGGCAGGAGAAGCAGGTTTCCAATCAACCAGAGACCAAAGAGTGAGGAACAGAAGTTCAGCTGAGAAAGACATTGTTGGTTGTTTTTTTTTTAAACAAAAAGAAAGACAAATTAGCTTTTTAATGTTGTGTAACTTGTAGTTTAGACACAAAGAATAGACAAACCAGCTAAAACAGATATACTCAGAATTGAATTGCAGTTACAAAGTTACACTGAAATCCTATAAATTCTCCCCACAAATAGCAAGGGACATCCGAGTAGCAATCTGGTGTATTTACAACATTGATTTCATAGAACTTTCTTCCATCTGGTTCTCATTCAGGAAGCCATACTAGTCTACAAAATCTAATGGGAAGAAAGATCTCACTAAAATCTATACTAATTGCCATGTTCTTCTTTCCTTTTCTTCTCTATCCTCTAGAGGTGATCTAGCAAGTCACACACTAGTAGAAAAAGCAGGCAATGATTCTGTAATTTCTCTGCAATATCTTTTTTTTTTTTAATTTTTTTTTTTTTAGGAAGCTGTCAATAACCCCAGAACATGCTGTACGTTCTTGCTTGCTTGCTTGCTTGTTTGCTGTGGAAACCTGGAGATTGTTATACCTATCATAATAAATGAATTTTATCTTTTAAACCTCATTAGGATGTCATACAGATGATGGTAAACTCTTAAGTTGACAAGTTAAAGTGCTGATAAAAGAATGGGGGCAAGTTCTGGACCAAATTTATGAGTATAATCTGCTACAGAAATGAAAGATTGCAAATATCATAAATTTGCAAAAATTAGCATCTCCTCGCAATATTCCATACTTATCAAAGAGGGAAACAGATCTTTCTCTCCTTGTTATTTTGAGAGTTCCTCAGCGGGTCCATTGACCGTCTTGCTTTTTATATGTATGTTTTGGGGGAGAGGGTCCTTAGATTTTATTAGGTTTTCAAAGGGGTTCATAATTCAAAAAAGGTTGATAATCACTGGTCTGGAACCACAAAACTTATATACACTGCAATGGCTTTGTTTTGTTTTGTTTTTGAAAATAATTTCTACTCCTGATACCAGAGATTCTGGGAAAACTTGAGGCATTAAGGAGCACATAACTTTTGGGTATGGCCTCTTGTCTCAACAGTGTCCTTTTACAAACCCCTTTTCTTGTATCTATTGAGAGGGCAGGAATAGTTTTTTCAATGCATAAAGATTTTCTGATTGTCAATTGGGTTGACATTAGTTTATACTTCCTGTGAGTCTTTATGCAAAGAATCTCGGGGTATATATTAATTAAATGGTTCAAGGAGTTGTGCCCAAGAAGGATTTGTGAACCTTTTCATTTCTTCTTTTTTCTCTACCTTTTTTTTTTTTTTTTTTTGAGACGGAGTTTCGCTCTTGTTACCCAGGCTGGAGTGCAATGGCGCGATCTCGGCTCACCGCAACCTCCGCCTCCCAGGTTCAGGCAATTCTCCTGCCTCAGCCTCCTGAGTAGCTGGGATTACAGGCACACACCACCATGCCCAGCTAATTTTTTGTATTTTTAGTAGAGACGGGGTTTCACCATGTTGACCAGGATGGTCTTGATCTCTTGACCTCGTGATCCACCCGCCTCGGCCTCCCAAAGTGCTGGGATTACAGGTCTTTTTTCTTTTTAAATTGGAAAGTGATAAAATTTAGTGACTTTGGAGATTATATATGGCGCCAACGAATGCAATTAAATGGCATGTAGCCAATGGATACAATTAAACGCACAGAGGTCTAGGATTGGAAAGTTTTTCTTCTTCCTCTAGAATGTAGGATTATGACAGTGGACTCTCACCTTTTTTTTTTTTTATAACAAAGCTATAAAAGCAAACTTAACAGGGAAAGCTCAGCTATATACAGTGAGGAGCTTGATACATTTTCTTATAATGACAAATGCAAGGTAACTGTCATATACATTCAATGAAAGGTGAAAAGGAATGTACTTTTTAGCAAGATAGCTGCACTTCGTAAATTAAGAGAATTTTAGATTCTCAAAAACTTATCATTCATAACCAGTTTTTCTAGTTTCCAGTTTTATGACTTTCCTCAGGAGGTGTTGACAACACAATTAGACCAGTTATTTCAACAACTACCTAAGAACTGCATTTTTGTGCCAAGTTATAAAAATTAGGTAAATTGGAACATACAGGTTCACAATAGACAACATACATATTCTTTTGGGAATTTAGGGCTGGGTGCTCTTGATAAAGAAGTAGCCAAAATAATTTGACCTTTCGTTTTCAAATTCCTATCCAGAATTTATAGAATAGAAGCTAAACAAATAGACCAGTAAAGGGTCTAAATTTGAACTGCCTCAATATTCTGGCTGACTCCTCCTCTCAGGGTGTAGAGGTGATTATTTGGTTTCATTTTACCCTCTGAGTAACTGCAATGCAGCTTCTTAGAACTGTTGTAAATTTGAACACTTCTTTGTTATTCATGGGGAAAGCAAAGAACAGGGGCACTGTGATTCCTAGGTAAACAGACCAACTGATTTTCTTCCTCTGCTAGAAGCTGAGAGATCAAAGAAACTCAGAAAAACCTAATGGTACTTACAGAAGGTTTGGGAGCAGGTGACTTGTTTCCATCTGGGGTTTTGGTTAGCCATTCATTGATGCGGCTGGAAACGCCTACCTTCAAGCCAGCAGTTTCCTACAAAGAGGAATCATCCAAAATATTAAAGAACAAAGTTAACTACCTGGGAAGGAATTTTCAAGGCAAATTCAAAATATCATCTTAACACCTGATACTTACAGAATATGTTGTCCGGTTTTCTTTCCCTTATAACTCACCCTACTCTAACCCCAAGGGAGGACATTTCAGCTCAGGCACTTTAGAGAACAATGGCCAGGGCTTCCACGTAGGGCGACCTCACAAACACGTTCTCTCTGAGCCTGCTTTTGTGGTCATTGCAAAACAAAGTACACATTGCACCTTCTACACTGCTTTTTTTATTTACTAGTGTGATTCCTAAATTGAAATTGACATGCCAAAAAAATGTGCCCCTCTATACTCAAAAGACAAAAATCAGATGCTCACCTTATTTGGGGTGCCTGCTGCTGCAGCGGGGGATGAAAACACATTCCCTTTCTCCCACATGCTCTTGATGTTGCGTACTCCTTCAGCAGGAACAGGAAGGTCCGAGGCTGCCGGCTTTGTAGGTTTTGCACTTTTCGTTCCCTGAAATGTGTGAGTTATTTTTAGGACTGGTGCAAGAAGTTTGTTCTCACATAACTGTAGTGAGCTTGTCTTCCCCAACACTGTCATCTTAAAAATTCGTTGTGTAAACACCTTCACCAAAAATGACAGTGATAATTTCTGTTGTAAAACTGTGTCCTGATGACATATGTCCCTCAAAATGAACCCTCACAGCTAGATCAGAGGATCTTCCAAGAATGGAATATGGTTTCTGTGGGGACATCATTTATTGTGAAATTGATATTTTACTTTGTTTCTTCAACAGATTTTTTTTTTTTTGAGACAGGGTCTTGCTCCGTCACCTGGGCTGGAGTGCAGTGACACAATTTAAGGCTCACTGTAGTCATGACCTCCAGGCCTCAAGTGATCTTCCCACTTCAGCTTCCTGAGTAGCTGGAACCATAGGCTTCTCTCTATTTTGTAGAGAAGAAAATGAAAAAAATAGCCAGGCATAGTCCCCCTGTTGCTCAGGCTGGTTTTGAACTCCTGGGCTCAAGGTACCCTCCTGCCTTGGCCTCCCAAAGTGCTGTGACTACAGGCATGAGTCACCACACCTGGCCTCAACAATACTTCTTAAATGTCTACTGTATGCAGGGCACTTTGCTAGGCTCTGGGAGGCTGAGGCAGGAGAATCGTTTGATTCCTCCTGGGAGGCAGAGGTTGCAAAGAGCCAAGATCACGCCATTGCTCTCCGGCTTGGGCAAGAGTGAAACTCTGTCTCCAAAAAAAAAAAACACCACAGTTTTGTGAGCTGCAGGTGGCTTATATTTTAATAGAAAGGGAAGACAGTAACTAGTTATACAAGTATTTATTTCAGACTTTGCTAAATGCTATGAAAAATAATGAAGTGCCATAAAGCATGGCACACAACTGGGGGATAATACTTAGTTGGGGATACAAAGAAGGCTACTCTGAAGAAGTGACATTTAAACCCAGATCTGACAGAAGACTTGAAAGCGGAGAAGTAAACAGGAGGAGCAAACTCCATTCCGCGCAGAGGTAACAGCATGTACAAAAGCTCTGAGGCAGGAAAGTGCTAAAAGATGGAAAGACTGAGATACCCCTGCATGAGAAATATATTGGAAAGGAGGAAAAAATGGATATAAGTAAGAAAGAAGTGTATTCAAGACACTCTCCCGGCATTAATTAAGGCCATACCCCAAATGGCTCAAGTTTCTCTTCCAGTCCTGCTTTATGGCCTGCGCCTATGGTCAAGAAGGCACAGCCTTCTTGGATGAGTGACACCATTAGTGGCCATGGCATAAAGAACAGTCTCACTGGACTATGCAAAGTTTAAAGCCACAGTCTTGGTTTCATTACACCTATTAGTGCTATGACCAACTCAACCACAGAAAATAATGATCTGCAATCTGTTGTCTATTTTAGTGGACATTTAGTCTTGTAAATCACATCTTTAGTGTTAAGACTTGATTGTTCCTTTGATAAATCATCAGATGCCTCTCCTTATTTCCTCTTAGCATCTGTAAACTATTATATATGTATCTCCACTCTAGAGTGTAAAGGAGAAGAAAAAATCAAATCAAACTGATCCAATTACTTCATAGAAGATGGTCTAATGTACAAGAGGCTAAAACCATTGACTAAAGTCTATACAAAGAAGAAAAAAGCAGGACCACATCTTGATGATCCCTTTTGGTGCTTTGGTACTGGGAAATACCCATTTCCAAATAGAATAAAACCCCCAGATCAGTTGGGTGGGGGAAAAAAAAGGTGAAGTAGATAGACACATAAAACTGTGGTCCTTCAAATATAAAAATCTCAGTTTGAGATTGATGATGATTAAACTTGGGTTGGCTATCATCTTTATATTACATTATAGTACTACTTTTATTTGATAATAAGAGGTTTTTATAAACAACAGAGGATTAAGATTGTAAGAGACCTCTTCAAACCACATATAGGAACATATTTCCTAAGGAATTAGGGATATTGAAGACATAAATGTGAATGTATAAAAATTTTAGTTAAATACCAATCAACCCATTCATTAAAAAGTAACCTTTTCATTAAACAATATTCAGGCTGAAAGTAGAAAATAATTTATTTAAACTCATCTAAAATTTATCTTTATTATTGTATTTCTTAGAACTTAGAATTTCAAAGTGTAATAAAGCATCATTAATATTCTAACACTAGTAGGGGCTGGGTGCAGTGGCTCATGCCTGTTATCCCAGCACTTTGGGAGGCCGAGGCAGGTGGATCACTTGAGGTCAGGAGTTTGAGGCCAGCCTGGTCAATGGGGTGAAACTCTGTTTCTGCTAAATATACAAAAATTAGCTGAGTGTGGTGGTGGGCCTCTGTAATACCACCTACTCAGGAGGCTGAGGCAGGAGAATCACGTAAACCTGGGAGGCGGAGTTTTCAGTGAGCCAACATTGCACATTGCACTCCAGCCTGAGTGACACAGCGAGGGTACATCTCAAAAAAAAAAAAAAAAATGCTAGCACTACTGGGGCTATTGGACTTGATTACTGTCCTAAGTGTTTTTGTGGTCTTCTATGCAGTCAGAATCTATTTCTGTTCAGTGGGACCATAACGCTGAGGACAATTCTCACCTCAATTGCACTGGTATACTGCTCCAGTCTGCTGTCAATCTTGGAGACTACTGCTGCTTGATGAGTTGATTTGACACCACTGCTAAAAAAATAAACACAGACATATAAAAATATGAGAGAGAATCTTCCCATACATATGCTAGCTGATTAGCTCAATGGAACCATCAACCGTATTTACCTTTTCTGCACAGACTTATTCAAAAATTCTGCTCGCTCTTCTATCTAGGAATTGCAAAAGAAAATAAACCCAATTAATATTTCCAGCTTATAAACAGTGTTTCTCAGCCCAGGCCGATATCATCCTTGAACCTGGTAAATAAACATACGGGTTACTGTGCATAGCTCTGCTAGAAAGCAAAACTACATATAAGGTATTTGATAGTGAGATTTGGGGAATGAAGGTAAGACTGATACAGGGTTGAGACAATGTGTAAAAAAAAAAAATTACGTTTTCAAGGCAAAATAAAGACCAGACGGAAATGGAATAAAAATGCCTCTGAAAAAATATAAATAAATAATTAAAATTTAAGACTAACATAATCAGATGGGTGCTGTGGCTCACACCTATAATCCTAGCACTTTGGGAGGCCACAGCAGGCAAATTACTTGAGGTCAGGCAATCAAGACCAGCCTGGCCAACATGGTGAAACCCTGTCTCTACTAAAAAATACAAAAATTAGCTGGGCGTGGTGGCATGTGCCTGTAGCCCCAGCTACTTGGGAGGCTGAGATGGGAGAATTTATTGAACCCGGGAGGCAGAGATTGCAGTGAGCCAAGGTTGTGCCACTGCACTCCAGCCTGGGTGATAGAATGAGCATCTATCTCAACACAAACAAACAAAAACAAAAAACAAAACTTGCATAACTTTTTAAAAAATACACACTGTTGCCCTTTAGGGCATATTTACTACAGACATACTGTGCTATTTGAATAACAAAATTTTCTCATGATGTTTTAACTACAGATTTGGTATGTAACAGGATTGAGTAACTAGGAAATGTGAACTAGTCTCTTATTGCTTAACTTGATTTCCTAACTTGACAAGGGTCAATCATCAAGCTTATTGTTGAACTTAATTAGTGTTGGAATGTAAAAGATGTGATGCAGGTAGAGTGAGGATGGGGCACAGCTCATCGGCAATGGCTGAGGCTTCCCATGAAGACCCTCTTAGACCAAGTGTAAAATTAGGAAATAAGTCCAAAGAAACTGGGATGGACATAGAAAAAATGGGCAGTTCAGTGATCTTTGATGAATTCTTTTGTTGTTGTTAAGTTAGGAACATTTTGCTATAAATGAAGCTGCTAAATCAAACATTATATTTTACTGAAACTGTATCACTTAAATTTAGATGTTAGCAGTAAGCAAATATTTGTTGAATCCATGCCATACCTAACTCCAGACTAGAAATATTCTCTGCCACCCATCATTTATCAATACCATGAGCAAATATCTTCTTTGCTTAAAAGCACATGCAGGCTGAAAAATTCCATTTTCTTCCCTGTTCAGGGAAGCCAAGAAATATACTAGATTATAGTTGCCTTAGGCTAGTATGTTTGAGTAGCCCCTTGTCTCAGTGAGTTCCGGTTAATATGAGAAGTTACTATAGGCTGGGTGGCTTAAAACAAAAAACATTTCTTACATTTCTGGAGACTGGGAAGTCTAAGATTAGGTTGCCAGCATGGTTGGGTTCTGGTGAGAGCTCTCTTCATCGTTTGCAGATAGCATCTGCAAACTGCTGTGCTATCATATAGTGGAGGGTAGAGGGAGCAAGTAAGGTTCTGTGTCTCTTCTTACAAGGGCAATAATGCCATTAAGGGGGGCTCTACCCTCATGACCTAATTGTCTTCCAAAGGTCCCACCTCCTAATAACACTATATTTCAGGTTAGAATTTCAACATATGCATTTTGAGGGGACACACACGATTCTCTAAGATGTAAGGAGTTCTTTCTGACCCAGACTGGTCTGGGATTTGTGAGCAATTAATAAATATCACAGAGTTTTTTTTTAAAACATGCTTCATGCTTCCTCTCTAATATCAGTTGAATAACACTTTTATACATGTTAGTAAGAGCATTTCATTCTTTCCAATGATTTCCTACAAAGATTAAAGCAAACTCTTACTTAAAAAACTTTATACAAAAAAGTACTATAAGTAATGCTGAGTTTATGGGATATAAAAAAATCTATAAAGTAACTCTTATTTTTCTGATTTTAATTATAAACTTAGAAGTGTATCTGTGTAGAAAAAGTTCCCAGGTGAGTAAGGTGAAATAGTTTAAAACTGTGCAATGCACTAGGACTTTTAATATTGTCCGTCCGTCCATCCATCCATCCATTCATCCATCCATCCACCTCATCCATCCATCCATCCATCCACTCCATCCATCCATCCATCCACTCCATCCATCCACTCCATCCATCCTTCCATCCATCCATCCACCTCATCCATCCATCTATCCATCCACTCATCCATCCATCCACTCATCCATCCATCCATCCATCCATCCACTCATCCACTCATCCATCCATCCATCCATCCATCCATCCACTCATCCATCCATCCATCCATCCACTCATCCATCCTATTTTTGTCCCTGCCAGCCTGTCAGACAATTAGCCAATAAATTATATATTGAGTACCTTCTATATAAAACTGAATACTAATAAATAAAAAATGTTATTGATCAAATTGTGTCCGCCTAAAATGCATATGTTGAGGCTCTAACCCCCAGTTACTGTATTTGGAAATGGGGCATCTAAGGAAGTGATTAAGGTTAAATGAGATCATAGGGGTGGAACCCTGATCCTACAGGATTAGTATCCCTATAAGAAGACACACTAGAGAGCCCACTCACTCTCTTTCCACCATGTGAAGACACAGTAAGAAGGCAGCCATTGGCAAGCCATGAGGAAGGCTCTCACCAGAAACTGAATCTGCTCGCACCTTGATATTGGACTTCCAGCCTCCAGAACTGTGAGAAATACATTTCTATTGTTTAAGCCACCCAGTCTATTGTATTTTGTCATGGTATCCTGAGAAAGCTAAGATAGACAAGGTCTTATTCTTTTTTTTTTTTTTTTGAGGCAAAGTTTTGCTTTTGTTGCCCAGGCTAGAGTGGTGCAATGGCGCGATCTTGGCTCACCGCAACCTCTGCTTCCTGGGTTCAAGCAATTCTTCTGCCTCAGCCTCCCAAGTAGCTAGGATTACAGGCGTGCATACCATGCCCGGCTAATTTTGTATTTTTAGTAGAGGTGAGGCTTCTCCATGTTGGTCAGGTTGGTCTCGAACTCCTGACCTCAGATAATCTGCCCGCCTTGGCCTCCCAAAGTGCTGGAATTACAGGCATGAGCCACCATGCCTGGCTAACAAGGTCTTATTCTCTAAGGAACACAAAATTTAGTAGGCAAGACTAGTAAAGTATATAATATAAAATATTTAAAAATTAACGGTAGATATAATATTAAAGAAAAAAAAATGCTGTATCTATAAGAGAAGTAACTAACCAGGGGAGTTGGAGAAGGCTTTTCAGTAGTTTTGATATTGAGCTGAGATTAGTAGTTTCTGGCTGACATGGTTTCAGAAATGAGTTTATGAAAGCGAGCAAAGACGTGCATGGCTCAGCCAGGAAAGGCATTCCTGGCAAAGCAAGCATATGTACAAAGATTTGGGGAGCCACAAGGCATGCAGCATGGTGAGACTGAAGAATAAAGAAAAATTCAGTGTGGTGGGAGGATAGAGGTACTGCAGAAGGGGATATCGGAGGGGAGAATTGTTCCTTGCCCCACCTGCAGTGTCTTTATGACTCAGGGATCATCTTTCTAACCTAGGCTATGGCATTTATTCAAATTACCAAGGTTCTCAGATTCCTACTCCTCCTTTTGTATCTATTATAGCTAACATAGCTTGACTTCATCATCACATTTTGTCAGGATGCACTGTTTACTGATGCACTCCTGCTGGAAAATATCCTAGCTTAGTGACTGTGTAATTTAACAATTTGTACTGAATCTGTATATTACATGTTCTGTTTAAGGAGTTTAATGAGGGAAATTGGTTCTTCTGAAGACCAAGAGGTGGCAGTATTGTCTCGATAAAACTCAAGATACAAACATACTATTCATTTTAGAAAACTGGTGCTCTTGTTACACCACACCCTGCCCCCAACCAACATATAAAGGCAATAGAAATTTAAAAATCTTTGAATTTAATTTACTTAAAATTTATTGTTTATTACATATCAAAATTATTCGCTACTAACATAATTTAATGATGAAAACCCAGGCACAGACTTTCCCAAACAAGGAATAGAAATCATGAGATATTTTTCAAAAGATACGCTAGTTGATAGTACTTTGACATCAAATAGCAAATATGGTTTCTCCCATCGGTATTCTACAATGCCAACTGTGACCACTTTAAAAAGTTGCAGGGCCAAGGGTATCAATAGCTATTCCAATTAAATCGTAGAATATGAACTTGATCTTGAAAATCAGAGTCATAGCAAGTTCTTCAAGGCACATACATGGAAAGAATCATAGACTGTCTGCTTCTGAATACGTGTCTCTCTTACAGTATATAGAAACTTTTTCCTAGACTTTTTTTTATACATCTACTTTAGTCAATTGCAGACAAATATCTCTCCACCAGAGGGAGTAGATGAATGGCTCCTTGGGAGCTCTAAATGAAATGGGAAGCCAGCATCTGGTTGAGAGAAAGACCAGAGAAATAAGTAAGTTGAGAAATTTGGTGGCAAGGAAATAATTAAAGAGGAGGGTAGGGTGAGTTATAGTTTCTCCTGGAAAAAAAAATGTAGAATTTGGAAGTCTAGATGACTACTACTTTCTTCATGTTACTAAGACTGTTCAAGGAAGGCTTGGGTGGGATTTTAAAGAAGGTGGAAAGAGAGAGCGTGGTTTTCTTTGACTATTGTTGAGCCAGGAACAGAAGACCTAGACTGGGAACGGGCTGAACTCTGAGAGCTGTAAAGAGACAGCCTGAGCCCAGGGGGTTTTTGCTTTCTAGAGCAGGGGGTCTGCAAGCCATGGCCCATTTGTCCACATAGCCCCCAACCTGAAATGTTTTTTTCTCTTTTTTTTTTTTTTTTTTTTTTTTTTTGAGATGGAGTCTCACTCTGTCGCCCAGGCTGGAGTGCAGTGGTGTGACGCCTCCCGGGTTCAAGCAATTCTCCTGTCTCAGCCTCCTGAATAGCTGAGATTACAGGCACCTGCCACTTCACTTGGCTAATTTTTGTATTTTTAGTAGAGACGAGGTTTCACCATATTGGCCAGGCTGGTTTTGAATTCCTGACCTCGGGTGATTCACTTGACCCGGTCTCCCACAGTGCTGGGATTACAGATGTGAGCCACTGCGCCCAGCCTTGAGAATAGTTTTCACATTGTTAAATGGTTGAAAAAAAATCAAAAGAAGAATAATATTTCATGACATTGGAAAATTACAGTAAAATTACATAAAATTCAGATTTCAGAGTTCATAAATAAAGCTTGCCGACTCCGCAGGCCTCATTTTGCTCTGCTCTGAGATCAGCATTTGGTCACCTTTGTAATTCTTGAATTGTTTCTTTGAGGCAGTCATTAGTGCCATCAGGGCAGCCACCTTGCTTTGTTCTTTCCCTCATAGGACATAGCATGCATGAAGTATTTCATAAATAATCAAATATTAAATGTATAATCCCTCTGTGGCTTAGTCTGAATCTTCCCTGAAGCAGACCTTGAGACAAGGCTTTGAGTAGAAATAATTTATTTGGGAGGTATCAGAAATATGACCAGGACCCAGATCATCATAAAGACTAAGGGAAGCCATTTGGGGATTAAAAATTCTGATTTCTTTTTTAGAGACAGCGTCTCACTCTGTCACCCAAGCTAGAGTGCAGTGGCACAATCTTGGCTCACAGCAACCTCTGCCTCCTAGGTTCACGCGATTCTCCTGCCTCAGCCTCCCAAGTAGCTGGGTTTACAGGTGTGCACCACCACGCCTGGCTAATTTTTGTATTTTTAGTAGAGATGCTGTTTCACCATGTTGGCCAGGATGGTCTTGAACTCCTGACCTCAGGTGATCCACCCACCTCAGCCTCCCAAAGTGCTGGGATTACAGGTGTGAGCCACGGCACCCGGCCAAACCTGGGTATGATTCTATCCTGGCTTTGCTCATTGTTGATGCTTTATAACCTAGCTAAGTTGATGGAAAATGAAATGTTAAAAGTTCCAATCGCTGAAGATTCATTCATTCATTCATCATGTAACAAATATTTATTAAGTATCTTCGATATGATATAAGGCACTGTGCTAGATGCTCAATGATGTTAATCCTCAAAGAAACCGCCACTGGCAATAATAGTGGACTGATTATAAATCAAGGATGGTACTCTCTTGAGTCCACCGTATTTTTCCTACATCTCAACTATTCTATCGTCTCCCTGACTCAGCTGATTCCTGCTCCTTCTCTGTTCTCTTGGCAGCGCTCTGTTTTACATCAGTTAGGAGTTGTGCTCCATGAAGGCTGTCACAGAACCAAAGCCATCCCGGAAAAGGACCCTCTGCAAGTCACTTTTCACCTCCTCCCATCATAATTGCTTTAAAATTCGCACCTGTACCATTTCCAGCTGACTTTTAATCATGACAAAGAAAAAAACGAACAGCTAGCATGAAAAGCAGCTTAAACTCCTAAAATATATGTTCCCATTTTATAAACTTTCAATGTTTCTATTCTCAAGTGTTCAAAGGAATGAGGCACATGGGGAATGTGGATCAGTGAAATTCAGAGATAATCACCAAATGTCATTTTAATGTATGCCAAAACATCTAACAAACAACAGATAAAAATTTCACTACTGTCTCTCCTTTCCGTACGTTGTAAACAATGAGAAGCTGTGAAACAGCTGAAAGGAGGTGCTATGGTCCAAAATTTAGATGTTGAAACTGAATCATTGATGTGTTTGGTATTAAGAGGTGAGACCTTTGGGTGGTGATTAGGTAAGAAGGGTGGGGCCCTTGTGGGACTAATGCCCTTATAAAAGAGGCCTAAGGGAGTCTGTTTTCTCCCTTTCCCCTTCTACCTTGTGAGGACAAGGCGCCATCTATGAGGACAGGCCCTCCCAGACACCACGTCTGCTGGCACCCTGATCTTTGACTTCCCAGCCTCCAGAACTGTGAGCAATAAATTTTGAGACAGAGTCTTGCTCTGTTGCCCAGGTTAGAGTGCAGTGGCATGATCTTGGCTCACTGCAACCTCCACCTCCTGGGTTCAATCGATTCTCCTGCCTCAGCCTCCCAAGTAGCTGGAATTATTATAGATGCGTGCCAACACGCCAGGCCAATTTTTGTATTTTTGGTAAAGATGGGGTTTCAGCATGTTGGCCAGGCTGATCTCGAACTCCTGACCTCAGGTGATCTGCCCGCCTCGGCCTCCCAAAGTGCTGGGATTACAGGCGTGAGCCACCGCACCCGGCCCCAGTCTAAGGTATTTTGTTAGAGTAGTCTGAACAGATTGACATGGAAGGATAGCAAAAAGACGAATGAAACAAAGGCCCCAAATAATCAATAACTAAACAAGGGGCTAAAATCCAGTTTCCATTATATTCTAATAGAGGTATTATAAGAAGATTTTTCTGGGAAAAAAATACCTTGAGAGATGAACCTTTAGGAGTGAAACACTTGAATGGTTTCTTGTCATCTGACAAGCCATCTTCTGGCATCTTCTGGCGTTTCTCAGCAGCTTCTGCTCTTCGCCTTTCAATCTCTTCCTTTAGCCTTCTCTTCTCTTCCTAAGAGAGAAAGAGCAAATAACAAGGCATCAATATCAGCTTCACAGCCAAAGGGAAGAGCGCTGTAGGAGAGAGAGCACAGTCGGAGAGGCAGGAGACCCAAGCCGCAGACCGGACACTCTCCTTCTAGGTGGTCACCAGAGGTTGAGCCTGAGGGCTGGAGTCCAGCTGCCTGAATTTGCATTCTGGTGCTGCTACTTTCCAACTGCCTGACCTTGGCCATATTATTTATCTGCTCGGTGGCCCAGTTTCTGCATCCATAAAATGGGGATAATGATAGTACTCATTTTTTAGGGCTTTCATGAGGACTCAATGAGAAAGTACACGTAAAATGCTTAGACTAGGCTTGTTCAACTCATAGCCTTGGGGCCACATGATGCCTAGGATGGCTTTGAATGTGGCCTAACACAAATTCGTAAACTTTCTTAAAACCTTAGGAGACTTCTGTGATTTTTTTTTTTAGCTCATCAGTGATCATTAGTGTTAGCGTATGTTATGTGTGGCCCAAGGCAATTCTTCTTCTTCCAATGTGACCCAGAAAAGCCAAAAAATTGGACACCCCTGGCTTAGACTAACACTCATTATGTGATTTCTCATAGGGTGATACCTAATCACCACCGTCCTGTGGGTCATTAACAATGACTTTGCACTTCTGTATCTGTAAAATTAATATGAATATCCCTTCTACCTACATCCTAGGAGAGTTGTGAAGACAAATGAATAACTTATGTGAAAAGCTATCTAAATCTGTGGTACTATATTTGCCAGATGGTACAAGATGCGATTTTTATGGTCGCTCCCCGCTTCAAATGAATAAACAATTTTAGATGGTTTGACAAACCTGAAACGCTGTAGACCTTGCATCACGGTGTTGCAATCGCAAATGTTTACAGTCTATCTCATTAACCCCTCTGTGTCTTCATTCCTAGTCTAGAATACCCTGTCTTCTCTATCAGGCAAAAAATTCAGAGCTCTGATCAAGTTTACAACTTGATTTTCTGGGAGATTTATGCAGTCTCAGGTAGTTCTTAGACTGTGAGATCTTTACCACTGCATGTTCTCAAGCAGCGAGTAGATGTTCATCTGTCAGAGGATGTTGTAGAAGGATCCTGTGTTGGGCAGATTGGCCCAAATAATCGCCTAGGTCCAATCCAGTTCATGATTTCCCTTCAGCCTTTCCTGATACTTTTCTCCTCTGAATAATAATCATAATAAAAGTGATGGTAATAATGATATCTACCAGTTTTTGAGTGCCTAGGACGTGCCAGGCACTGGGAGCACAATGATCTATTAAAGTATCAGAAGAATCCTGCAAAGTCAATATTATTTCACAGGTAAGGAAAAGAAGATGCAGAATAGTCCAGGTTTTCCAAGGCCCCAGCTTGTTAGTGGCAGAGTTAGGATAGAGGCCTGGGTATGTTCCAAGATGGTGCCACTGCGCTCCAATCTGGGTGACAGAGTGGGACTCTGTCTTAAAAAAAAAAAAAAAAAAAGCCCAGGTGCAGTGGCTCACACCTGTAATCCTAGCACTTTGGGAGGCCAAGGCAGGTGGATCATGAGGTCAGGAGACTGAGACCATCCTGGCCAACATGATGAAACGCTGTCTCTACTAAAAATATAAAAATTAACTGGGTGTGGTGGTGCGTGCCTGTAGTCCCAGCTACTCAGGAGGCTGAGGCAGGAGAATTGTTTGAACCAGGGACTCGGAGGTTGCAGTGAGCTGATATCATGTTATTGCACTCCAGCCTGGGCAATAGAGCAAGAATCCGTCTAAAACAAAAACAAACAAACAAAAAAACCAGAAGCCTGGGTATGTTTAATTCTAAAATTCTATCATTCTGATTACTTCCTAACTAAAGTCATTGGCTCATTGAAAGTTGGAGTTAAAAGAGACCTTGAAATAATGTATCAAAACTTTCCATACAGTTCAGGAAAATTTTGCAAAGGATCCATGTCAAAATGCCATTGAGAGTCTTTTTTTTTTTTCCCATATTTTGAATGATGGGAGATCACTATCTCAAAAGTTCTAGGCTCCGAGTTGGAAAAGCGGGGTCTCCATACTGATTCTAACATTTATTAGTCAAGAATCTTGAAATAAGTCACTCAAACTATTTGATTCCTGCTTTCTTTGCCCATAAAATGAGAAGAACGTACCTCAGGATGAAAGGAAAGACTGCACTTTGTAAACTGCAGTGCTGTTAAGTTGTAGTCTGTTAAACATTATTTCATATGCTGAGCCAAAGTGTTCCTCCTTGTAACTTTATCTGCTGTTTTTGGCTCTGTCTTAAAAGATGGAACAAACTCATCTATTTATAATGATGGGGCTCCTCCTGTGTGTCAGGCACTGTATGGGGTCCCGGGTATACAGTAATGAACAACGCAGACACTGTCCCTGCCTGTTTACATTCTAATCTACTTACTTGCCCATTAAAAAAAATTTTTTTTAATATTCTTTATAAAAAGTCTTCAGCTATTAGAAAACAAGTATCACATAACTTCATTCTTGTAACTAATTTGCAGACCTTTCATCCTTCTCAGCTTTCTAGCTTTTCCATTTTGAGAGGCAGTAAAGGGTAATGGGTTAACACAAGGGAGACCTCAGGAAAATCACAAAAAAAAAACCAAAACCTCTCTGTGCCTCAGTTTTCTCATCTGTAAAATGGGGATAAATACCCATTATCAGCGAGTTCTTAGAAGCAGTGGACAAATTAATATGTCTACAAGTTTTAGAACCATACCTAGCACATGGTAAGTTTAGTATTCTTAAAAAATATTTTTAAGAGCCCATGCTCAAAAGAGCAGCTGCAGGGCACTACGGAATTTTCCCTTGCCACGTTTGCAGTGGGCTAGCGCTTGCCTTACCTCCTCTCTGAGTTTTCGATCGGCTTCCTCCTGCTTCCTCCTCTGTTCTTCCTCCTCCAGAACCTTCCTTCTCTCCTCCCTCTTTTTCTTGAGCTCCTCCAGCTCCAAAGCCGCCTCCTGCTGCTTCTGTTTGAGCTTCTCAAACTCTTCGCTCTCCGTCTCCCCACGACGACGACGAAGCTCCTCCAGCCGCTTGCCGGCTTCCACTTGGGGGGCGCCTTCGGCCTCCTTGGTGTCCAGGCTCGCCCTCCCTCCAGGACGGCTGTGGTTGGGGGGGGCAATGGAAAGGGGTTTACATGCCTTTGCCTGCAGTCTCCCTGGAGGAGGGCGAGGTCGTTCTGCGGCTTTTGCATCCCACACCAAATCTCCACTGCCTGTCATTAGCCCAAGGGGTAGGTAGGCTGGGAAAGGGCTCTGCCTGGAATCACAGGGGCCGAATGGGAGCCTCAGTTCTGCCACTTGCGCTTCGTTTCCTCAGCTGTACAATGTGACAAATATGTACTGCAAATTGGGACTGTAAAGTGGTGCAGCTGCTATGGAAACAGGATGGAAGTTCCTCAAAAAATCAACGAGAGAACTACCTCATGATCCAGCAATCCCACTTCTGGTATACCTCTGAAAGAATAGAAAGCAGGGTCTTGCAGAGATATTTGTATATCCACGTTCACAGCAGCATTATTTACAATGACCAAGAGATGGACGCAAGCCCATCATGGCAGGAATGGATAGATAAAAAGTGGGGCTGAGCGCGATCACTCACGCCTGTAATCCTAGCACTTTGGGAGGCCGAGGTGGGTGGATCACAAGGTCAGGAGTTCAAGACCAGCCTGGCCACGATGGTGAAACCCCGTCTCTACTAAAAATACAAAAATTAGCTGGGCATGATGGCAGAAGCCTGTCATCCCAGCTACTAGGGAGGCTGAGGCAGAGAAATGCTTGAACTTGGCAGGTGGAGGTTGCAGTGAGCCGAGATGGTGCCACTGCACTCCAGCCTGAGTGACAGAATGACACTCCGTCTCCAAAAAAAAAAAAAAAAAAAAAAAAAAAAAAGTCTAGCCATACCATGAAATATCATTCAGCCTTAAAAAGGAAGATCTTGTTACCTGTTACAGCATGGATAAACCTTGAAGATACTATGCTAAGTGAAATAAGCCAGGCACAGAAATCATACAAATACTGTATGATTCCACTTCTATGAGGGATCTAAAGTAGTCAAATTCATAGAGACAGAAATCGAACTGTAGTTACCAGAGGCAGAGGGTGGGCAGTAGAAGGAAATATAGAATTGTTGTGTAATGGGCGTAGCCCTTCAGTCTTGCAAGATGAAAACAGCTTGGGAGGTATGTTGCAGAACAATGTGAATATGCCTCACACTACTTAACTGTACATTTTAAAATGCTTAAGATGATAAATTTTAAGTTATGTTTGATTTTACCACAATTTTTAAAAAGATAGATGCTACAACATGGAAAAATGGGGCAAATACTATTTAATTCTATTTACCTCAGTGGGTTGCATGGGATTGTGTATTTATATATCATCTACTGTATGAATATTAGTTGTTATTGGAGAGGAAGGCATATAGTCCAAAACATTACTTGTGAGTGAGTTCAAAAGTCTCGTAGTGCCTGACTAGTCCTTTCCCACAAGTTACTGGTTAACTTGGATCTATCTGGAGTAATGGATCAGGAGGGAAGACAGAAAGGTTCAGGCACTGCGAACGGGAAAAAGTGGCTGAACTAAGGGTAGGCATTGAAGTAAATCCATCTATCCACAACTTTGCCTTGAGCTTGACTCTAGCAGCTGATCTCTGGTAGATGAAATTGCCCATTGCCCCTTGATTAGAGCTAAACACAGTGATTTATGTCCATTCTTACAGAGCCGCTCCAGGAAGTCCTTAAGGACTACATTAACTTATGGCTTCCATTTGTGTATTTTCTATGTTCTTTACCTCCAACACAACCGGACTATTCCTTATACAGACTTAAAATTATGAAATTAGTTTGGTATGACACGGTTAAGGTGATTACTTCCATGTCATTCTTTATGCTTTCTAAACCCTTGTCATATCCACGACTTCATTTAACAGTCACAATAACTGGGAAGATGTCAGGTTCGGTTTATCATCCCCATCTTACAAAGAAGGTAACCACAGGTGAGAGAGAGAATTATTTATTCAAGTTTTTGGTAGCTAGAAAGCAGCTGAGCCAGAATCAGATTCTAATGCTTATCTATTAATTGTACTCTTCTTGTCACTATACTGTAATTCTACCTGAAATAGGCATTGTTATGAAACAATGAATAAACTGAAAGAGAACACGTTAGCCCATCTCTCCACCTCTCACCTCAAACCTTCAGGATGGAGTCTGAGAGGAGCATTTCCCACCTCTGTCTCTAGAATTTTTATAGTCTAGGCCTGGCTACATTCTGTGCCTGAGCAGAAGCAATGCTTCATCAGATAGAATAGCTTATAAAACAGGAAGAAAATGGGTAAGTTTTAACGTAAGAACTAAAATTAAAATTATGTTGAGTTTTCTTTTGTGATTAAGGAGGATACACAGGGATTTCATTGCAGAATTGGGAACATGTTAAGACTTAAGACAGAATGCTATCCCAAAAGTCCTGATGTTAAAATTTTATTTCAGAACAGGTGTTTTAAGTATTTTACACATCTATAAAAAGATGGAGACATATCATTAGCACCTACTGTGACCCCTAAGTTTCTTTAATAAATTTGCTATATGGTAGAATTAGAACACTGATCATTTTAAAACATGTCGATACTTAACAGTAGAACTTCAGTAGAATACAGCATTTTCACTAACACAGAATTTGCCTGAGTTGGATTTGCCTGGGACTTTAGTCAGGAGAATTTAGTGCTTGAAGGCCCTTGTTATAAGTAGTCTTTAAGAGACAGAGATACAGCTTTGCCATTTAAAAACTTATTAGCAAGTAGTGAGGTCATTCTTAACTAGATGAGAGTGTAGGTGTCCTATTCCTGACACTTTTGTCTAAGGAACAAAGGAATTACCACACCCTAATACCGTTTACTACATGTAAAGAATGGCACAGTGTTGCTAGCTGTGGAACCAAAGAAAGAATAAAACCATGGCCAGGCACGGTAACTCACGCTATAATCCCAGTGCTTTGGGAGGCCAAGGCGGGTGGATCAAAAGGTCAAGAGTTTGAAACCAGCCTGACTAATATGGTGAAATCCTGTCTATACTAAAAATACAAAAATTAGCTGGGCATGGTGGCGTGCGCCAGTAATCCCTGCTACTTAGGAGGCTGGAGCAGGGGAATCGCTTGAACCTGGAAGGTGGAGGTTGCAGTGAGCCAAGACTGGGTCACTGTACTCCAGACTGGGCGTGAGAGGGAGATTCTGTCTCAAAAAAAAAAAAAAAATAATAATAATAAAACAAGGAATGGGTTCAAGAAATACATTGTGCACATTAATTTGAAACACTGAAGGCGTTCTGAATATACTGTGTCCTCCAGGACAATAATCTTCAAGCTGCAGACCAGAAAATCAATTTAGTAGATTGTCATCAACATTTAAACAAAACAGAAAGTATCAGAGTGCACTGCATAGAGCAGAAGAAAGTTCCATTTCTTGACACACTTGTTTCAGTTATAAAAATATATACAGGCTTGTACTGGGTCATGATGTAAAATTTATTTCTTACTAAGGGCTTAGGTTAAAAAATTTAAAACTGTTGGTCTAGGATCTTGACAGTTAAAGGTAAACTTTTATTTTGAACTCAGACAGGGTTAAAGGGTCCCTCAAAATCTAGTTGTCAAAGGCTCTTTCAGGGCCTTCTAGGTTCACAGGCCTGTGACTCTTCTCTCAGTTAATTTAGGGTCTTTCCTTTCAAAAATGAGTTTGCTCTATCTCTGTGTTCATTGTATCACTGTATAGGAACTAGACCAGCAAAACACCTGCCTACAGAAACATCCGTGGATTCCACTAGGTGTCGCTCAGTCTTCATTTTGGACAACCAAAATGTTCGTCATTAGGGACTAAATAAGTCATAATACATCCATCTAGTGGAAGGCTCCAATATCATTAATTATAGGCTTATGTTTATTTTTATAGAAAACAAGCTATGATACATTCTTACGCATGGTGCAAGAATCAATGCAGAATTATAAGTATACTCACACTTACGTACTACATATAAATATACACACGTGTGTCTATCTTGATTATTACATACATAGATAAACAGCTGGAAAAAGTGTTACTGGTGGTAATCGTTGGGTGGTGGGTGCTTATTTTTATTCTTCTGTTTTCTGACTGTTTTTATAATGAGTACATTTTTTTCCCTGTAAGTGGAAAAAAAACCTTTTCATTCCCACCTTAAAAAATAAAACGTCAAAAAGCCCTTCACGGGCCGGGCGCAGTGGCTCACGCCTGTAATCCCAGCACTTTGGGAGGCCAAAGCGGGTGGATCACGAGGTCAAGAGATCGAGACCATCCTGGTGAACATGGTGAAACCCCGTCTCTACTAAAAATACAAAAAATCAGCTGGGCATGGTGGCGCGTGCCTGTAATCCCAGCTACTCAGGAGGCTGAGGCAGGAGAATTGCTTGAACCCAGGAGGCGGAGGTTGCGGTGAGCCGAGGTCGCGCCATTGCACTCCAGCCTGGGTAACGACAGCGAAACTCGGAAACTCCGTCTCAAAACAAACAAACAAAAAAAGCCCTTCACTTTGCACTTTCTATAAAACCGTTGGTAGAATTTGCATTGCTATATCTTGCTCATTGAATGGAGATTTTTATCTCATGTTTTGGAGAAAACAAGTGAGTAACAAGAAAATGCAAACATCAGAGGGAACAGTAATTAAATCAAACATAAACAGCTATGTTCAATAGAGGAGCAAAAGTTTTGTTCACACCATCTCTGTCTATGTGCATGACCTCAGCATTAGGGTGCCACTTAATGTGGAAATCTCTTCCATAAAGTTCTTTCCCCCCACTCCCTTGGCTTCTTTAGGTGTAAGTCAAGATAAGTATCCAGGCTTTGACCATTAAGAATGCAGCTTGTTTGGGAGGCCGAGGCGGGTGGATCACGAGGTCAAGAGATCGAGACCATCCTGGTCAACACGGTGAAACCCCGTCTCTACTAAAA